ACGCATCAACAGCAGTTGTAAGGAAGTTAGGCTTTTTTGTTTCTAGGCTTAAACTTGTGGCTTAGGCTTTGTTTTGGGGTCCATATTTTCTTTTGGTCTTTTTTGTATTTGGACCTCAACAACTGTAAATGTTGTAAATTTGTGGTTGGTAATGTATCTTATCTGGTGCCCTCTTTGTAGGGTAACCTGTGACAAAAAAAAAAACAATAAGGAAGTGGAGATTTTGAGCATTTGCCTCTTTCAACAAAAACTTTCAAGTTTGATTCCATCAATTTGGTTGTATTTGGTTTTTACTTTTTTTTACATGCAGGAGTTGAAAATAAGTTGGAAACAACTGAAGCTTGTGTTTAGCTCGTCAAAACTCGGCCTGTGAAAAAACAAGCAAAATCTATGTCCGGCTATGAAAATCTAAAATCTTCTAAGCTTCCTACTCCGATCATCATCCAAATCAATGGTGCAAACTTGATTTGGTAATCGTTGGTCATGCTTCATTCACTTGAAAATATATATCCATATATGATATGAAATGATATCTACCTCCCATTTACTGTAATGTTTTCACATTCAAAAATTGACATATCGTTTGATGTGATTCATAAATGAGAATCTTGAGTTATTAATTTTGGTGTCAATGTCCATCCGCTCTTTCGAAATAGCTGCAACAATAGGATACCATTACTACAAGAATATTTTTGTTCACTACTTTAAAGTGATAGTGATGTTGACCATCTTATTTATTGCTTTCGAATAATTTAAATTTTGAGATCTGTGTAGTTGAGAGTTACATATATCAAAATTTATACTCATAAATATAAAAATTTATACTCATCCAATAATAACAAGTAGTCAACATTACTATCAATTAAAGACGATGAGCAGAAATACACTCCCAGTACTGCGATGCAGAAATTACCAATACTCTTTCTGCACCGTTGATTCATTTTTCATATGAGACTGTAGGCATTCGAGAAACTTGGACTAATGCGGTAGGTTGGTAAAGCACAAAAAAATGCTTATTGCTTAATTAAACAGATTAATCTTTGCTATCAATCACTTTATCCTCTTCGAATTCTATTATTCAACAAGTTAAATTTAATCTAAGAATTATTATATTCGAAAAATTACTAAATAATGTCTTAGTACATGCGTATAGGTATATGCGTGTTTATATATGTACATGCATAATATTGTTGTAAGAATTATTACAACAAAATACTACCCTATGAGGTATGAGGAGGAGGAGGATATCCTATTGGGAGGCTGAATTAGGCGAATAATATGGGTCAGTTACTAGTTAAGTATCGAACTAAACACAAAAAAATAATACATCATCGTTATCTATGTGAGTCGAATCGAATTTTAGAAATCTCACTTATTGATATAGATAAATACTACTAAACCGTAATACTAATTTTTCTTAAAATGTGTGCAATCTTGAATTTTGTAATCATCGATAACTAACCGATAATGTTCAGTAAAAAGACAGAGTATTGTTGCTCATCATCCTAAATTTTGGTGTATGATCACCATAAACCTAATCATGTAATGCGGTCGATTCTAACAATTTATACATGCAATTATAAAATTACGTGAAAAAATATGTAAGACGAGAAATATTGTTTTTGGTGGTAACGCATAAGTGTTTCTTCAGCTGTACGGATGTCGAAAGAGAGCCATAGATCTTGACTTCAATTATTAATATCACCTTTAATCTCATCATCGGTTGAAATCAATCACCTAACTTTTACCTTTGCGCCCGAAATGAAGGAGAAAAAGAAATGCAAAAACGCAACACAAATAAACAAACCACTGCCGACATTTCTGCCATCAAAAAGCACACAAGCATAAATTTCAAAAGAATATTGTTCATTTTCCATTTCTGCAATATAAATTAAGATTAAAAAAACAAATAAACACGTATTTATAAGTGCCTTTCGATTATGGCACATAATGGAATGATGTCACGTTAGAACTTAGAAGTTATAATAAACTTTGGTTTATTAATAAAAATAGCATTGTTTTAAAAAATTTATGCCTAACCCTACCTAGGTTCTGCGTATGCACTAGATGGCTGTCATCGTTCCTATTAATCTCTAGGTGTTTGAAAATTAAGGAAATGCGCATAGACCTGCTTAAGCGTTGCCTAGCCAACCCAAACTCGCCTAGGTTGCAACCATTACTTAGATAGAAAATAGATAACTTTCATTTTGTATTTTATTTTCATCAAAAATTGTAGAAGACTTATGAACACACAAAAATTGTAGAAGACTTATGAACACACACTATATGCTTGTTCTCCATATTTTCATTATATTCTAATACGTTATAATCTATATGTCATTCTATTTTGTAATTTAGGCATCACAATGCAATTATTTATTTTTAAGCATAAGTACGCACTTATTTATACAATATATAACAAATTTACTTAAATCTGCTTAGTCTGCTTAGGTTCCGTCTAGTTACGTAGGCTCTACGGGCCTACTACCCGACTAATGCCTAATGTCTTTTAGAATTTTATAAAATAGTCATTAAACCTGATCCCTAACAATAAAATCAATAAAAAAATTTTTAAATTCATCTACAGTATATATTTCGATTTTTATATAAAAAAATCTGTCCATATTTCCAAGTAACGACATAGTTATCGACAATCAATAATCGAACAAAGCTCACTGATTAAACAGTGTGAATATAAATCCATTTTCAATTTTTCACACAGAAAGTTGGTAAAATTAGAGATGGCCGCCAGCTTTTCAAAATCCAAATTAAGTTGGGCCCCAGTCCCAAACCACTTCCCAATGCTCTTCAATCTTTACGTCACCAACCCTCTCTCTCTCTCTCTCTCTAGATATGTTGCTAAATAAAGTCCATCTCCCACTTTCACTTCCCACTCATCTCTGAGCAGCTCAGCCCTCTGCTTTCTGCAAAAATGGCTCAGAAGACGTTTTTCTACTTCGCCATTTTCTCAGCATTCTTCACACTCACTTCACTCTCCCGCACCCTACCCGAATCCGAAACCGCCACCTTCCTCGACGTCTCCTCCTCCCTCCGCAAAGCCCACGCTGTCCTCTCCTTCGATCCGGAGTCCCTCCAACCGCTGGAATCCCAATCCCAGGAATCCCAACCCCTCAACTCCTCCGCCTTCTCCCTCCAGCTCCACCCCCCGCGACGTCCTCTTCAATTCCCAGCACAAGGACTACAAATCCCTCACCCTCACCAGACTCGGCCGCGACTCGGCCCGAGTGAACTCGCTCCACACCAAGCTCCAGCTGGCGCTCCAGGGGATAAAAAGAGGGGATCTCGAGCCCATGCACGCCGAGATCCAACCCCAGGACCTCTCCACCCCGGTCGTCTCCGGCGTCAGCCAGGGCAGCGGCGAGTACTTCTCCCGGATCGGCGTCGGGACTCCGGCGAAGTCGTTCTACATGGTGCTCGACACCGGCAGCGACGTCAACTGGCTCCAGTGCGGCCCCTGCTCCGATTGCTACCAGCAATCTGACCCGATTTTCAACCCGGCCGGATCTTCCACCTACAGCCAGCTCACGTGCGATGCGCCGCAATGCCAGGCCCTCCAGGTGTCCGGCTGCCGCGCCAATAAGTGCCTCTATCAGGTGTCGTACGGCGACGGATCCTACACCGTCGGCGATTACGTCACTGAAACGCTGTCGTTTGGGAGCTCGGGTTCGATTAACAAAATCGCGTTGGGATGCGGACACGATAATGAGGGATTATTTGTCGGGGCCGCCGGGTTGTTGGGCCTGGGTGGCGGGCCCTTGTCACTGACCTCCCAGTTTAAAGCGACGACGTTTTCATACTGCTTGGTTAACCGCGACTCGTCCGCGTCGTCGACTCTCGAGTTTAACTCCGCCCCACCAGCTGATTCCGTCACGGCGCCGCTAGTCAAGAGCGAAAAAGTCGGCACATTTTCTACGTGGGGCTCACCGGATTCAGCGTCGGCGGCCAACCGGTCTCAGTCCCGCCGTCGCTCTTCGCGGTGGACAATTCCGGAAACGGAGGGATCATCGTCGACTCGGGTACAGCCATAACTCGGCTGCAGACTCAGGCGTACAACGCCCTCCGCGACGCATTCAAGAGGCTTACTCGGGACCTGCCGACTGCGAGCAGCTTCGCGCTGTTCGACACGTGTTACAACCTGTCGTCGCGGACCAAGGTGCAGGTCCCAACGGTGTCGTTTCAGTTTTCCGGCGGGAAGTCGTTGAGCCTTCCCGCGAAGAACTACTTGATTCCAGTGGACTCGGCGGGGACGTTTTGCTTCGCCTTCGCGCCGACGTCGTCGCCGCTGTCTATCATCGGGAACGTGCAGCAGCAGGGGACACGCGTCAGCTACGATTTTGCTAACAAGCGCGTGGGATTCTCGCCAAATAAGTGTTGAGAAAAGTTTAAAACAGTAGGGTCGGACTCGGGTTTTTTAGGTAATAGGTTCGGATCGTGACATGAAATTAATGTACGATAACCAGCTATTTTATCCCCTCATAAATTTTATTAATCATAAAGAAAGTAACCGTATATTTGGTATGGTATTGTGGTGTACTGAAATACGAACGCAGTATATAACTATTTCAGATGTAGGAGAGTTGCATCTACTTCCATATCAAATATTTGTAACCTTGGTAGTTCGTTGATATTTACGTGTAATTAGTTTACGCATCATAATATGAGCGACAAATTAGATGTGTAATGCATATTTTGAGACGTTAAATTAAAATTGTGTTTTAGTACTATACAATTGTTTGGGCCCAAAATAATAGTTTGGGCCGAGTGTAGAATCATTCTCGGCCCGGAAGGCCTTGCGACAAGAAGACCATGGATCGTTCAGCTTGTGGGCTTCCAAACCTAGGCCGGTTAGGTCAAAATGCAATGACAAGTCGAGTCCTGATACAATAGGGAGTCTCGGCAGGATTAACAACCTAGAAGCGGATAGGGCTCGAATAAGGACTAGGTTCACAATCCTAATGAAAATAGGACTGGTCGAGGTGATATTGATCCGGAGAGGGAAAACCTAGTCCGAATAGGATTCTATCTCAGATTCAGGGTCCAGTGCTGTAAATAGCGGAAGCTGTGCATCAGGAAAGCCCCCACAAAATCAATACAAAATTGCCCTGCGCAAACTCTCACAACTTGAGATCTTTTTCTTTTCCTTTTTCGCTGACACATCTTTCCGTTGGCATCAACAGCACTGTGGAAGCAACCGGTGGTATCTTAAGTCGGCATAGATAGCTCTGTCACACCGTAGAATTGGTCGGTCTCTCGCAGTATCTTCCGTTGGCATCAACAGCACTGCGGCGAGAACGGTCGATTACCTATCCAAGTCTCGGTCGAGAAGGGTTTTCGAATCCTTGTTGGTCGAGGTCACCTCATTAGCCTTCTCGGCGAGGTGAGGTGTCACAGTTATTACATTCGGCACATTGCAAGCCGAATTCGGTTCGTGAACTTTGTAAGAAATAGCAGCCTTGTCTTCAGGCTCGAGAACCCAAGAGGCCGAGACGTGTTCCTTTCTCGGCCGCAATCGCAAGACACAGAAGTCAGTAGCGCGACCCAACGCAGCATCATCAAATTTACTCCTCGGCCGAGCCTCGGCCGACGAGTTGGCACGCCCGCAATCACCGAAGGACGTAGTTAGCTTAGAATATACTTGGCCTGCGCGCCACGTAGGCTTTGTAATTTCTAGGGTCAACAACAATAAAAGTAGGATACTAATTTGTCTCAAAATATGCATTACACATCCATCTACTATATAAATTGAGTAGTGTGCCTCTTTTTTAGGGATTTTAGCCGAGAAATACAGTTGAATCGCTGGCGTGGCCCGGGTCGGCCTGATCTGAAATACATGCTTTCAACTTCAAACTAAAAAGTTTCAAAAATTCGTATCAATTTTAATTTTGAATCGGAATTGCAATGGCATACGAAATTTAGTTCTTTTGGAATCGGATTAATTCGGAATTTCAAAGTTATGGAATTTAATTGCCCTCAAATTCTCATTTTTTTATGTAATATATTAATGGAAGTGTAATTGAAAAAATAGTTACATATTTGAGTACATTATATTACAAATCCAAAGCTAATGAGTATATAATTAAGTTATGCAAGTTTCGCAAACTTATATCGGACTCGGAATATTAAGTACCTTCCAATTTTTGTCCAAATTTTTTTGAAATTTTTCGGATATCATAATATCTGTTTCAATAAATCGAAAGAAATATCAAAATAAGTTGAAATCGGATATTTTTATCCAAGTTGCACACTGTGGGTCTTCAATGTGTTCACAGACATGGATTTGGATCTTCTTCGAGACAATTGGTCAGGATCCTTCTAATTGGTGTTTGTGGATCGTTGAATTTTTATCCAACGGTTACAATTATTATAACTTTTAGAGAATCTTCTTGTTGTTTGTAGCCGTTGGATAAAAATCTAACGGTCCACAAGCACCAGTCAAAGGATCCTGACCAGTTGCCTCGAAGAGGATCCAAATCCCGACATAACTCTAGTCCAATGCCGTACAATAGTACCAAAGTCTGGAATACGTTGCAACAGCCATGCATGTCTGCCACGTGGAATTGTATTTGTTTGTTTATTTAAATTTCATATTTTAATGGTGCCGTGTTCCCATCTCTGACTGTTTGTTTCTGCATGTGATTTTTGGAGCGTTTACGTCTGTGACTCTGGTGGGGTTACGGATCACATGGATCGTAGGGTCCACTTTCGGAAGTGGACGACAACGTCGGTAATAAGCTCTAGTGGAAGACAACGTCACTGTTTGACCGTGATGATGATCATACTATCGTGCTATTAATTCACGTGTTATAATGTATAGTTTGTAAACAAAAACCTGATCTGTGATGCTTCGTGCTTGTTTAGCACATCTTGGAGACTTGGGGTCGTGATATCGGCGGAGAAAAATTTGTATGATATTATGTTATGGAGCAAGAACGTCATTAGAACCGTGTATTCGTTTTAGAATAATATTTGTCTACTAAAAAATGAGTATGAATTCTTACTCAAAACTATAGTATTTGAATCATAAAACTTTGTACTTATGATCATCTCTATAAAAACTGAATTAAAACTAAGGTCGTTTAGTCAATCAATTATAACAAATACATAGATGGTTTGTAATGCTTTTAACAATTCCGTTCATTTGTTTTTATACAGTTTTATGACTAAACGATATTAGTTTTAATTGATTTTTTTGCATAGGCGATCTTTATAAGATGATTGATAATATAAACAATTCTAATTATAAACACGAAATTTTATAAATAGACACCGATCAATTTTAAGTAGAAACTCCTACATATTCTTTAAATAGCCAAGCATTGTACTTCATTTTACGTAAGTCGTTCCCGTGATTGTCGGCAGCTGCTCTTTCTGGTTGGGGCCTGTGGCTTTTGTTCAGACGAATGGAAATGCATCTAGTTGAACAACAAAAATCCACCATGCGGAGAACAAAATTTCAACTTAATTAGATTATTTTTTATTATCTTTTTTGGGTCAATCATCTTTAGATTATGATAATCACAACTGATTACCAATGAATTGATTTTTCTTTTCAGAAGTCAGAAGATGGAAAATTCTATACTTTTTGCAAGAAAATAACTATTTCTTAATATTTTGATGATTAATTAGCGAAATGGCAGATTAAGGAACTAGTTAAAGTGCCCAGATATTTGAAGATATTCGGGCTTAAGACCCACCTGCCTTATGATCATAGTCATCTACGGTTATTGGAGCGTCCCCGGACCTCTGCAGAGAAAAACCCCTAGAAGTTTTATTTGAGTAATATTCTGATTTAATCACAACTAGCTTTCATGCACGTGTGTTTTAAATCATGGCATGTTATGCGTGATTTATACGTTTTAAATGTATTTATATGCGTAAATTGATAAAAGAAAAGTCAAATATTTGAAGTAAATGAATAATCTTAGATCAAATATCATTTGTTAAAAAAAAAACAATCATTTGACAACTAATTTAATTACATTATTATTCGCGTGGAAAATATTTTTTTATAACCGGCATTACACGCCTCTTAAGTTGTTTTGAACGTATTTAAAAATAGAGAAAATAATATTTCATGAACATTATTATCTGATTGAATCACATTATTATTGGCATATTGTAAGATATTAATTAAAAAAAAATTGTACTATTTTATCACTGGCGCTACGCTCCTCTTAAGATGTTTTGAACACAACATTTATGATTTTCTTTATTTTTTATTATATTTTTCTTTCCCCTTCACATGGGCACCATCAACTTTCACTCATTCTTCTATTTTTTTTATTCTTTTCTCCCTCCCTACTTATTATTTATATTATAATATCATATTTTATGATAACCAAATTACCCTTGCATTATTTGATATATTGCTATAATATTATATTTTATGATGACCGAATTACCAAATTACTCTTGCATTATTTGATATATTGTATAGGGCTGCTTTTGAATTTTTTTGGTTGAGGGGTTATTTGGTCCAATTATTTTTGTTAAAGCCGGTGACACCAAAACAGCCTTCCGGCTTTATATATAGATTATGAGAATATAATTCAAAATTTAATTGCTAAAGAGAAGCATAGTGTTATAATCAACTTTGTTACTTCTTACACACTTTTATTAATTTTTGTCCATTGATTTTTTTTCAATTCATTCGATTTAACTACCAAAGATCAAACCACGAAGACTTAAAAAAGGTGGGTGAGTGTTCCAAAAACTAATGAAATTACTTGGACCTCTTCACATGGGAAGAATTGGTTCACCATCAATGTGATGTTTCAGTCTAATTATCACAAACGTCACATGGCGATAAACCAGTTTCATGCAAGATTTTCCCCACCTTCACATGTCATGCCTTTGGTTGAGATGAAAACCCAAAATGTTGGAATGTTTTGAATTTGAAAAGCTTAATTGTATTTGATGAGAAAAATTCAGACTAAATAAATTGCATAGATCCAAATATGTAAAACAAAAAATGGGAAAAATACAAGTTGCTAATTCTCAAGCATGATGTTCTAATCAAATGTAGTAATATGATTCTCAAAAAATGGAGTAATATGATTCTCAAGATAACAAATGAAGCAATTTAACCGCATTGTTCCAAGGGTTTGGCAGTATTAACGAATGTTGCGCTTTTGTTGAACCCCTCGAGCAAAAGAATACGCACCGCTTCTACACCATCTTGAAACGTAAAATTCAACTGAAAAGCATTTATAGTAGTTAGAATCACGGATTAATCTATAAGCCTCTCTAGAGATTGCATTAGAAACTTTACAAACCTCGTGTTGTTCTTGATTAGTAAATGGACGAAGAACAAAGTTGACAGGATCCATTTTCCCAGGAGGACGTCCAATGCCTACAGAAATTTCACCAATTGAATGAATTTTTTTTACACATTTAGTTCGTTTTCCCTAATGCGTAATATAGAAAGAAGTATTAGGGAAACACTTTTGGTGGTCTAGGGAAAGTACCGATTCTTAAACGAGGAAAATCTCGACTCCCTTTAAAGTGATCAATGATACTCCTCATCCTGCAAGAGAAAGATGACAGGAACCAGTCAAGAGTCATTATGCCATTTTAAATATATTTTCCTTAACATACTGAGTTAAATCTAACAGGCAGACTACTACGATGGCATTGTATATTTACCCATTGTGTCCTCCGTGTCCACCTTTTGGCAACATCCGCAGCTTTCCAAAGGGAAGATCTAGATCATCAAATATCTGAAAACGGGAACCAAAAACTTAAGGCACGGCAGAGAAACAGGACACTCTGACTCCGAGAAGGAAAATGAGGTAAAAAGAGAGAAATAGAATGGTAGTGATTAAGTAAAGGAGAGAAACTGCACCACAAGTACTTGCTTCAATGGAATCTTGTAATATGAAACAATCGATCCAACCTTCAACAAAGGGTCCAATTATCAACCAATTATCACCGAAACATATACAAGTTTCAAGACAAATCCTGAGATAGCTTACTTACAGACTCACCGCTTTTATTCATGTAAGTTTGTGGCTTGGCAAATATAACCGGAACATCGCCAATAAGGCCTGGAAAATATGAAAACAAAGCTCTATGAAGATTATAACTTTCCCTAACAATTGGGGATCTTGGAAACAAAGTAGAGAACTATTCATCCATAAGCGCTGTAAAGCAGCCACAAATTCATAAACAAAATGAGATCGTAAATGGTAGAGACTTAAAAAAAGATACATTCAGAAAAATTATGCAAAAGTGAACACGATCAAACAATTTAGCGAATTTAGTTGCGGCCCTTACGGGTTTGGTTAAGTAACTACATGTACAATCAATCAAACAATATTTCACCAGATGCAGATAATCACACAAGTAAAGAAAATTGAATCAACACAACAAAACTTTTCCAAATGCTATCTTGTAAATTTGAAACAGATAACCAAATTTAGAGCAAACAAACCTTTTCCAACAAGGGCTTTGAAAGAAACACTGCTCAAAGGTATCCCTTCAGCTTCAGCTATGGCATCTACCATCTCAAAACCCACCTGCAAAACAGCACCACCACCATAAATTGCAAGCTTTTGGATTTCAAAATTTACGAGAAAATTAGCAATTGGGTAATCAAATAATCAAGATTTAACACAAGTATGAGGATCATAGTATTGAACTTTGTGTGTCAATTCCAAAGAGGGCCGTACGGACATTGTGGCGGGTGCTGTTGTACTTCTTCCCGGGGTTTCCGAGTCCGACGATGAGCCACGGCTGCTTGGGCGGCTTCTTGGCTTCGACAGGCGCCGTGTCCGAGCTCACTGGCGCCGCGGATACGGTGGAGGGAGATGGTGATGACGAGATTCGGGACATTATCTGAAGCGACGGAGATCGAAGTAGGGGTTTTGAGAAGCGGAAGCAGCGGTGGCAATTGGGAAAGCGGACGGTGGCGATGGATGATAGGGAAGCAGCAACGTTCATATTTTGTTCTGTTTAATTTGTTATATAAACCTATAATTAGCTGAGGGTTTTGAGAAACAGAGGTATAAACCCTACGGCTAAATTGCGAGGAAGAAGATGATGCGGGGGAGAGCCTCTCAGCCGCGGCTTTAGATTTTAGAAGTACCTTTTTTTTATCTTTTTTTTTAATTATTTTTATTATTATTAAAAACACCATAAAAATAGTACAATGGATACATTGGATTAAAAAAAAAGAAAAAAAAAAGAGAAATGGTAACCGGCTCTGTCAAAAGTGCAACTCTCTGTACCTCACGTTTTTTACATAATTTTTGTGTCAATATTATAAAATATTGTACAAAAAATATGAAGTTATGGAAAGTTCAACTTAAAGAGAGTCTCATTCTCTCACAAAAAATAAAAATTTATATACACACCTCGTATTTTATTGACTACACCACATATCTACTTATTATATTAAATTTAGGGTAAATGACTGTTTACTACCCTCATATTTCATAGTTTTCAACATTTAGTACATCAAGTTTTTTTCGTCTCAGAGTCATACCTAAAGTGTAAATTTTGGGACAATCTCATACATCTGTTAGTCAAACTGTTAAATTTGCCGTTAATTGTGACGTGGCGCCCATGTGGACAATTAATGGGCGCCACGTGTCAGCCACGTTTTTTTTCTTTCTTTCTTCTTTTCTTCTTCTTCTTCTTCTTCTTCTTCTTCTTCTTCTTCTTCTTCTTCTTCTTCTTCTTCTTCTTCTTCTTCTTCTTCTTCTTCTTCTTCTTCTTCTTCTTCTTCTTCTTCTTCTTCTTCTTCTTCTTCTTCTTCTTCTTCTTCCACCCGATTGCAACATTTTTTTTTTCCTTCCTCCTTCTCCTTCCTTCCCCTTCTTCTCCTTCTTCCTTTCTCTCCTCCGAATCTGGGGAGTTTTTTTTTTCTTTCCTCCTTCTTCCTCTTTCTTCCTTCCTCTTCTTCTTCTTCTTCTTCTTCCTCCGAATCTGCCCAGATTCGGTTTTTTTTTTTTTCTTTTTTTTTGAGGAAGATGAAGAAGAAAGAGGAAGGAGGAAGGAGGAAGGAGGAAGAAGAAGAAGGAAGGAAAAAAAGAAAAGAAAAAAAGTTGCAGTCGGAGGAAGAAGAAGAAGAAAGAAGAAAAAAAAAAAAAGCCGAATCTGGGCAGATTCGGAGGAAGAAGAAGAGGAAGGAAGAAGGAAGGAGGGAAGGAGAAGGAAGAAAGGAAGAAGAAGAAGAAGAAAAAAAAAAAAAAAAAAACTTCCCCAGATTCGGAGGAAGAAGAAGAAGAAGAAGAAGAAGAAAAAGAAGGAGAAGGAGAAGAAGGGGAAGGAAGAAGGAAGAAGGAGGAAGAAGAAGAAAGAAGGAAAAAAAACGAATCTGGGCAGATTCGGAAGGAAGAAGAAGAAGAGAGAAGGAATAAGGAGGAAGGAGAAGGAAGTAGGAAAAAAAAATTAATTCCCCAGATTCGGAGGAAGAAAAAGGAGAAGGAGAAGGAAGGAAGAAGAGAAGGAGAAGAAGGGGAAGGAAGAAGGGAGAAGAAGGAAGGAAGGAAGAAGGGGAGGGGAAGAAGGAGAAGGAGGAAGAAAAAAAAAAGTTTGTAGTCGGGGTGGAAGAAGAAGAAAGAAGGAAGAAAGAGAAAGAAGAAGAAGAAAGAGAAAGAAAGAAGAAGAAAGAGAAAAAAAAAATCCCCAGATTCGGAGGAAGAAAAAGGAGAAGGAGAAGGAGAAGGAAGAAGAAGGAAGAAGAAGGGAAGGAAAGAAGGAGGGAAGGAAAAGGAGAAGGAGGAAGAAAAAAAAAAAGTTTGCATGGAAGAAGAAGAAGAAAGAAGAAAGAAGAAGAAGAAAGAGAAAAAAAAAAAATTCCCCAGATTCGGAGGAAGAAAAAGGAGAAGGAGAAGGAGAAGGAAGAAGAAGGAAGAAGGAGAAGAATGGGAAGGAAGAATGAGGAAGGAAGAAGGAGAAGGAGGAAGAAAAAAAAAAAAAGTTTGCAGTCGGGTGGAAGAAGAAGAAGAAGAAGAAAGAAGAAGAAGAAAGAAAGAAAAAAAAAATGTGTCATAAAAAAAAACGTGGCTGACACGTGGCGCCACGTCATTGTCCACATGGGCGCCACGTCACAATTAACGGCAAATTTAACAGTTTGACTAACGGATGTATGAGACTGTCCCAAAATTTACACTTTAGGTATGACTCTGAGACGAAAAAAACTTGATGTACTAAATGTTGAAAACCATGAAACATGAGGGTAGTAAACAGTCTTTTACCCTTAAATTTATCTTAATATACTCTACAAACTTTTCAAAACTTATATTCCAATACTACTCTCACACCTACAATCTTTATCAATTAAATTTTTTAGGACTTTGTAGTATTTTTCTATTCAATTTTCAGCACATCTAGTATTTTATCCATTTGAGGGTTTATTTTTCTATCAATTTCGGGGTTTCTTTTTACTGATCTTGATTCATGACGTATCTAATCTTCACTGTCGAAGATGTTTGAGTTTTCAAGGGATGGATGGAATTGTATGATTATTCTAAGCTTTTTTCATTTTGCTGTTATAACATAGGTAAGTGTAACATGATTATGGAAATTTTGATGCTTAAGTAAGTTGAAGCACAAGTAAACCAGAATTAGTCTAGCTTGATCCACCTTCAATCGATTTTTATGTCTAAAGAATTATTGTGAAAATATTACTTTTTGTAAAGCTTTTAGCTATTAAAAGTTATTCACTCAACTAATTTGGTTGATCTTTAACAATTGTTTCTATCTAATACTGATGCTGCTGCTAGATTGCCCCATGATAAGATAAGTTTCCCTATATAAGTTTTTTTTTACTAAAGGAGTGGGAGAGTGTGGTAAACCTCACAATGGGCTTGTCAGAAAAATATGGTTTAACTTCACATTTGACAATGATAAAATTTAAGACCTCTCACTTGAGGAATACCCCTAGACCGTAGTACTAAGTGACATATAAGTTTTCTTAATGTTTGGAGTTTTTCTGTTTTAAAATTTTAAGGGGTTTAAAGAGTCATTTTATATAAGGTACATAAGTCATTTAATAATATTTCCACGGTTTTAGTTTGAGTAATGTTAGGTAGACCAATTTTTTAGACCAAATTTACATACCATGTGATGTGTTACCAATAAAAATTAAGCACGCTAATCGATATTTAAGTAATAATTTAATCATCAACAAGACGTCATATAGTTTACAAAATATAATTAAAATAGATGGTCACCCTAGCATTACTCTTTTAGTTTTATTTTGTGAGTCATCTTTAAATATGGATTAGTTGGGGGATATTTGAAAAAATAACCAGAATTTTGACCTCATATAGAATTATAATCAACATTTTAAGTTTATGATAATTATAACCAAAATTTGATATAAAAGTGCTAATATACCCTTACTAGCAGTGCTGCAGCATGCATCGTCAAGCTTTCCTTTCCACAATTCTTGCATCACCAATGCTGCATAATTCATGTACTATTTGAATTTCTATTCCTGACATACTTGCCACATAATTCATGTACTATTTGACCAATAATATCGAATACTAATGCATGAATAATCAGAAAATACACTTCTCCATTTCTTCACTGAAATTTGGATCTGCTTTCCCAAATTTTATTATTATTGGGCTATTAATATATTAATTTTACCCTCTTGCTCTTAATAAAATTGTAATCTTTCTGCAATTTCTTACCCGAATAATAATAAAATGTTTGTTTCCCAGGATCTCCATCAAAACATGTGGACGAGGAAGCCTTCATACACAAACCCGAGACCCTGCTACCACTTATTAGCTTACAAGCATGGTTGCAACGGCCAAAAATCCCTCAAAGTCCACCCCGGACAAAAGAATAAGCTTTCGGGTTCACAAAACAAAGATACCCAGATGTAGTTTCTGTAATGGGTTCGAGGGTAAACTGCCAATTTAGTCCCTAAATTATCATCCTAGTGAAAATTAGGTCATTAAATTATTTTTTCAAAAAAATTAGTCACTGAATTATAAAAATTTGCCAATTAGATCCCTAATGTTATATTCGAAGCTACTATATTCAATTTTCCGTCAATTTAAGTCACGTTACTTGCATGTAATACACATTGGAGGGTAGATTGATAGTTTTTCATAAAGAAATAGTGTATGGAGTTAACTTTTGAGGAGAAATTGGTAGTTTTTCATAAATAGTATAAGTTAACTTTTGAGGAGAAATTGGTAGTTTTTCATAAATAGTATAAGTTAACTTTTGAGGGTAAATTAGACATTAAATTCGCAACCTATATGAAATGTTAAGCACTTATAGACGAGAAAATGATGGTTTTACACTCTAAAGTGTGTCAAGTGACTTAAATTGACGAAAAATTGGATAAAATAGCTTTGAATATAATAGTAGGGATGAAATTAGCAATTTCTAATGAATTTAGGGACTTATTTTACTGAAAAAATAATTCAGGGACGTAATTTTCATTGAGGTGATAGTTCAGGGACTAAATCGGCACTTCACCCTACTTTATATTTGCTTGATTTTCTCTTGGGTTTGGTGTTCGAATCACGTAGTTCTGTATACCTACATACCTCTGTAATGTGCTTAGGAAAATTTAATTTTAAGGGTATATTAGTACTTTTACATCATTTTTTGGTTATACTCAAAACGGTGGCTATAATTATATATGGAATCCAAATTTTGGTTACTTTTCCAAATTTCCCATTAGTTGTTTTGCTGAGAAGTTTTATTCTGTGAGCCATCTTAAATATCGGTTAGTTGGAGCCTAATTATTTTATTTTGTTTAGAAGTTTGTATGATTGAACTCAGATGCTAGGGTTTTGCATCAACATTGGTTTTGTTCACGATTTTTCAATTTAAAATTCGGTGTTTTGGGAGTTTTGTTATTTCATTCTGAATTAGGGGTTTCAAAATAAAACTAGGGTTTAGAAGGTCTTTGAAACCCAATTTCGATCACCCTTGTCTACATCATACTAGGGTTTTCAAAATCAAATTGAATTTGGTGGTTTTGGGGTATCGTTTTCTGGAAGAATCAGTTGGAAATTTTTATTGTATTAGACTGCCATCATGGGGGCAATTTCGTGTTTGGATCCTGTAAAAGCATTGTTTGGTCGATTTTTAGGTTTTTGTAGGAATGAACAGTCATCATCGTTAGAGCTTCCATACGTTCCCTTTGATATAATCAATGAGATTTTGAGCTGGTTGCCGGTGGAGTCTTTACTAAGATTCAAGTGCGTGTGCAAGCGTTTGTTTTTGTTGATTGATCAAGATAACGAGTTTATCGCACAACAAACAGTTCGGGCCAGTTATCCTATGCTGCGGGTTTGGTATTGCTGTGCTTTGAAAAAAAATTACTTCTACTATGCTGTGAGAATAAGCTCATTTTTGCTGTTTCACGTTTTCAGTGTTTTTTCACCCAAAATTGTGAAAATAAGTTGTTTTTAAGTGTTTACCAAATACCTTTTTGAGCTCAGCTTTTTTTTTTATACCCATTTTTTATAAAACCACCTCAATACCAAATCAGGAGGAAACTACCTGTCTAGCAGCAGCTCTATCCGATGAAAATTTCACTTTTGAAGCCATTTGTTATGGCTTTTGTCTGGAGACCAGATTTGGTCATCCTCAAGTTGCGCGTATCAGAAATCCAGCAACCCGCCAAGTACTTTGCTTGCCTGATGCACATAAGGATACCTACGATTTGTCATTTGACTTGAATTCATCATCTGGTGAGTGTAAAGTTGTATGTACTTACATTATCGAAAAACAGAATTACTTTGGCACTGGTGTTGGTTTTGAAGTTCTAACTGTTGGGAAGGATGAACAATGGAGACCTCTGAAAAACCCTAAACAAAATTTACCGGAACAGGGTGATGAGGGGCTGATGCTGGAATTGAGGTTTGTACATCAGTCTGACGAAGCGATTCACGTTGCCGCCGAAATTATACTGGATGAACTTGATTCCTACCTAGAAATTTATTCTCTTGACATGATCATCTAGCAGTTGCCGAGGTAAAGGACAACGTCCTTAGTGTCTTGGTGTTAGAAGACTACAAGCAGCAAATTTGGAGTGAAAACAAGATCATCATTCCCCTGAAATTTTTAAAGGACGATTCGCATTTGGAGGATAAAATTATTCTTTCTTGCATTTGGTTTAAGGCTGCCTTCAGATTTTATAACAGTGAAGGGAAACAATGTTTTTGGTATGATATGGATACGGAGAATACGGATGTTGTTGAATTGTCACGGGATGTTGAGAAATCTTTAGCTTCATGGAAGCCAAGCCTAGTGAATATTAAGGGAATGAAACCAGAACGAGAAAGGGGTGCACAGTAACTACAGGCAAGACTGAATAGACTAGCTAAATGACTAGATTTTATGTTTAATCTGTGGCGAAGCTCTTCGTACGTAAGACTTTTGCCTCCCTTTTAATGTTTTTTATTTTATTTTATGCTTTGTATTTGCCAAGACTTTAGATTTATGCATCAGACATATCTAAATTTGGTATGGAAACAGTGAACTAACTTGAGTTGCAACACAAACATCTAACTTCTTACTGGTTTTTGAGAAATGATTCAATGTGAGTTAAGCCAATTGCCGAATATTTTGCATGCCAGTCAGTCTCCTTGCCTTCGAGTTGTTCTCTCCACGTATGTCACGGACCTTAAGATTATATACTGGACTTGTGTAAAAATTTGTATTCCTCTTCCTTTTAGCTAAGAAGATTAACGTACATGTATTAATTGATGCATTTCATGTTAGGGCGGTACCGACGGGAAACATATGTGGTGGAGTTAAGGGCGGGAACTTTCCGGCTTCACTATTTTTGTCGGATAATAATGAGCTAATGTCGGTTATAGCCGACCGTTCTTGTTTTTGTCTAATATAAGCGATGACAGTGCCTTGTTATCCGGCACTATTTAAATGTTGTCGGAAATATTTTATCCGACAATAATTGTGTAAGACCTCCACCACTCTCCGACACATTAAATTAATTTTGTAGTTGTGGGTGTATTGTATATTAATTTTGATGAACTTTTATAAACTCTCAAATCCAGGTGTATTCAATATATTATGGTCTTATCTTATGTGTTAATTTGTAATGGCATCTGAGCATTACTTTAGATTATTCTTACCCCATATATTCTTGGGTAGGGCTGCTGCATATCTATAGCACTCTTTGGATCAATTTACCCTTTACAGAAACAACAGTGCAAAATGGCATAATTTTCTCTTGTTAGTGTGGAAGTTCAAAACTGGAACAGGCATTCCAAGGGTGATGTTCATCAGTTCATCTCTTATCAGAAAAAAGATCATTACAGTTAATATACGACAATTATACACACCAAGATAATGTCATCACATTCAAATTTCAAGAGCACTCCGATTTCCCCTTCCAACATAAAAAAAAGCCATGAATCCCTTCATTGTTCACCGACAAACATTAATCTTTTTCTTTTGTTGAAAAAATCTTGGGCATACGGGGGAGGCTTTTATTCCTAAATTAATTGAGAAACAAGGGGAGGAAGGAGCTTATAATACATGGCCCCGAGTACTTTTATCTTCTAAAAGCACATTGTGAATAATATCAGACGACTCTTCGGACCATTCAAAACACAAATAATTAAAGAAAAGATTGAGGGAAAACGATTGTAAATTTCTGATTGAATAACAGTACTTTTCTCTTCGTTTTGGGACATACTAAGGCAGATAACAAATCCAACTCCTCACTAAGTGGTAACTAGGACGATGAATATACCAATTTAAAAGCACTCTTTAGTCCTCAAATCTCAGTGAAAGTAGTAAACATGGACTCTGATAGATCTAAGTCAATTTTTAATTTCTCAGTTGTATTAAATCTATCATTTACACAACATGAACAAAGATTTCACTTTAATCCGCCTCCCATTTTCTTTTTTTTGCTAATATGTGCTCTCCATTGAAGGTCTCATAACCTTTTTATAATTGTTTTCTCCTGAGTATTTGACATTCATGAAAAATGGAACCTGCCCCAAACACGAACCACTTAAAATATAAACGTGGCTAACACAGCACGCAGATGACAGGGAAACCAAATTTTGTAAACACAGACATGAACAAGACTCATTTTATTCTACGTAATGAAAACAAGACATTTAATTTCCAGGCCAAACAAAAATATGGCAATTTATTTCTTATTCATTCACAATTTTTTTTTACAGGAAAGAGGAAATAATGATCAAAACAATTGAAGGAAGGATTTCGGACATGATGATGATGATCATCAAATTCAATCTATGACAACCAGCTTCTGGTACAATTCCCCGGAGATGGCCTCTTCCATAATACGTTCCGGGCTGATGTCAATTTCACCGTCTTCATCCAAGAACAATTTCATCAAATTCTTGGAGAAACCACTCAAGAGAGCCACTCCTTTTTGTGATCCAGACACTGGCGTAGAACGCGAGTGTCTCAGATTCCAAAACACAATCTGGGGCACCACATCCCCGTACCCTTTCTCCTCAAACTTCCTTTGTATTACCTCATAATCAGTCTCCCACTTCCCGCTCTCCTCCCTACCACTACCAGTATCCCAACCCCATCCCCCAGGATACCTGCAACTCGAAGCCGAAGCCTCATCGAACTCCATGTCGCTAAACACAAAGATTCTCTTGATCATATGCTCTGGTTTCAAATTCCCATTCACGGCCACTTCCAAAAGTAAATCAAACACTTTCTGGAAATCAGTGTTCGCACCCCATTCCATCCTCCTTATAAACTCGCACTTCGAACTTAGATCATCGCCTTGTATCAAATGTAGCTGAGGGTCATGACTGAAAGTGATGACCTTTCCCTTCCACGGCTCTCCACTCAGTTCGGACAACAACAGTCCTAAAGCAACACACACCTCCATCGGAGTCCCGCACATGCTTCCCGAGACATCACACACAGCCAAACAATTTTTCATCTTGCCTTGTTTCAACATGTCCTCCACCATTCTTTTCCAATGCAGCTCACCCACTTCCCCGCCATCACCATCTTTCAGCGAGGCTATGATCTCATGAGGAAGCAGAGCACCCGCCGCAATCTTAGACTTTCCAGCCTTCACGTCCTCCAAATACTTCTTAAACCTCTCTTCATCGTGCTTCATGAACTTTTCTTTGTAAAGTTTCATGGCCACGGAGGCCACACGATTGTACGGAATAGCTCCCCATTGATTAGCACCCATATACACCTCGGGCAACTGCAACACCTTCCTCAACGGCACCAGCACCTCCTTCCTCAGCCGGTCTCTCACTCTGTACGCGTAATGCGCCTCCTCTACACCTTCATATTCCAGGTAGGATTCTCGCGGAAACACCTTCCTTGCAATCGCTTCACAGAGAAGAGTGGAGCGATCGAAGGAGGAGTCGAGGGAAGGGCACCACTTCGCCGCCAGGGTGATCTTCTTGTACTCATTGGACTTGAAATTTTCGAGATCCGACCTCAAGCACTCCGCAAAGAGATCCGAAACCTGATGGTGCAAGAACCGGTAATCCGGGTCACGCTGGTACCTCGCAACAGCCTTCTTCGCCATGGCGATCTTCTTCTCTTTCCTCGCAGCACTCACCTTTTCTTTTTCCAATTTTACCCTCTCCAATGCCTTCATCATCTTAACCGCTTTAGGCTCACTCTGTCTCCTGCCGTTGATTGCTCCAGAGATTTTAGTACTAGTACGTCGGGTTCTTCTCCATAACAGTCGCCGGATTGTCGGTCTCCTACGGCCGAGAAATCTTCCTTTTGCAATGGACCACTCCTCCCTTTGCTTCTTCCTGACGTCATGGCCTTCTAGAAGGCGGTATAGAATCTCCGGCATGTCTTTAAAATACCCGAATTCGGCAAAGGAAGCGAGGTTGCAGGCTAGGGTTTTGGGGTGGTTCTTGTGGAGCCAAAATGCCGCCGTGTAGAACCCTTCCTTATCGGACTTTCCGGTGCCGCGGACTCCACGGAGGTTGCATATGAGCTTGAGGGTGGTTAGGGCGTCGTGGGCCCAGGCCAGAGGAAGTTGTTGGTTGATATAGGAGGCGGGGGTGGATGGTACGATTTGGAAGAAGAGATCGAGGCAGGCGTTGCCGGAGGAGAGGAAGGTGCCCGAACCGTTCTCGGTGAAGCCCATGGGCGGTCGGGACCCGCTGGGAGCGGGATTGGGTTGTGCTACTGGGGCGAAGGTGTTGATCTGTGGAGGACCAACAATAGGAATAGCACGTGGAGGAGAAGGAGGAGCCATTGGAGTGAGCTTGTTGTGAAGAGATGTGAAAGGCCCAAATGAAATTAGGGTTTCGTTTGCAGTCTTCTGCTGGATATATTACCTTTTTATACGCGATTGTTTACTTGTGGGGCACGGATTTTTTTCCCTTTCCCAAAATAATCACTATTGGATAATATTATATAGGTACTAAGGAAAATTATATATACCCATTTTTTTTTTGACCAAATTAAAAGATGATACGTGTTTTTTTTAAAAGTTAAAAGATAAAAAATAATATAAGGACTATTTTAAAACAATAAAATTGTATTAAAATATCATTAATTGGACCATATCTACAAGTGAGTATGAGAAATTTTTCAGTGTGCTTTGGAACATGGGCAGTACACCACAAGTCATTAATACTATCGGAGATAACTTTTTGTTTTCAAGTGTTCCTCCAATTATATAATAACATGTGACATATTATTTCGTGCTCCAAGCATATTGAAAAATCTCTCAATAAGTACCTAAGTATTATCCATAACCAGTTGAAAGAAAACTAAATTCAAATGGAATTGAAACTGAAAAGTTGTAGCACTACAAGGAATACCCACACTACACACTGACAGCAATCCGTTCTTATTGTATGTTTTAGCAACTCACTTCAGTCCCTAATGTGGTTTGGGACAGTGCAGCTACAGATACCCCTCCGTCCCTTCTATATCCGTCCCAACCAGTTTTCCATTTTAAACTAAATTAATCAGCATTTTCTTCCATCAGTCTCCTATATGAAATCCCACTTTTATTCAATTATTTTATTACTTTATTTTTGGTTAACATGAAATTTGAGTGAGATATTTATTATGTCCAGTAAATGACTTTCTCGCTCCTCTCCTCGATTAGGGAACGGGCCAGTTTGAATAACGTGGTGGTCTATCCAGTGTTCTTCCTTGGCTTGCTACTTCTGCTGAATGTGCAACCTGAGAATTGAGTCAATAAATAAAAGGCCAAACGTACGAAATGGGCAAATGAACAAATCAATCTGAAAAAAAATCACATACCATATTCAGATTTGGTAAAATCCCCATGCCCTTAACCTTTCAACAAACCATCTCCAAATTAGTGTTGGGGCTTAAAAAGACTTCACTACTTTGGAGACGTTTATCTCACAAAGAAGAATGTAGTGCATCGGAATTGATAGACAAAAGAAAGAAAGAACACTCAATGTATTACACAAGATTTTTATTCACTCACAAACTTAGTACAAGAGGAAACACGCAAACACTCTCACACTTCTTGCTCTCTTACTTGCTCTCACTTCTTCTTGCTGCATAGCAACACACACACACACACCTAAATTTATAGGCAAGCAATAACCGACTCACCAAGTCAGTGCAATTGGACTAAGTTCCTCCTAGCCACAAGTTTTAATTATTCTAGAGTTTTCTATAACAATTCATCAAACATCCTTGCAGACTTAATAAGCTCAAATGCTAGAATTGTCTAGCATATTAATATGCATGCATGATGCACCGACTTTGGTGCTAGAATTCTCTAGCATTTCCTGTGTATTCACCGACATGCTTCTTGCTAGAATTATCTAGCATTTGTATGAATCTTGTATTGCCTTTTCAACATGGGCTGGACTCGGCCCAAGACTAGATTAGAATTCAACATCCCCCCTTAATCTTGTCTTGTGACGCCGATTGAGTTTCTTAATCTGACAAAGTCTTCTTGTTTGAGTGGCTTGGTGAATATGTCGGCGACTTGGTCTTGAGACTTCACGTATTCCACTTGCACATCCTTTCTTGCAATACACTCTCTTATGTAATGATAGCGGGTATCTATGTGTTTGCTCCTGTCATGGAATACTGGATTCTTTGCTAGAGCTATTGCAGACTTGTTGTCGACATAGATCTCTGTTGGCTCTTCTTGTGGCATGCTTAATTCTTTCAGCAAGTTTCTCAGCCAGATTGCATGACATACACATGAGGTAGCAGCTACGTATTCAGCTTCGTAGGTAGAGAGAGTGACAATCGGTTGCTTCTTCGACATCCATGTGAATGCAGTGTCTTCCATGAAGAACACAAATCCAGTAGTGCTTTTTCTGTCGTTAGAATTTCTTGCCCAATCACTGTCGCTATATCCAACAAATTTGTAGTTACTAGAACTTGAATAGAACAAGCCAAAGTTAACAGTACTTTAAGGTATCGAAGAATTCTTTTGGCTGTCTTCAAATGTGTAGTTGTGGGATTCTCCATATAGCGACTGACTAATTTGACGGCATAGAGAATGTCTGGTCTTGTGCAAGTCAAGTAGCGCAAGCTTCCAACTAAACTTTTGAAAAATGTTGGATCTACGTTTTCTCCTTTGTCATGCTTGGTTAGTTTGACTCAGCACTCCACTGGTGTGCTTATGGGCTTGCAGTCGTCCATTTTAAACTTTTTCAGTATCTCCTTTGTGTAGCTTTCATGGGAGATGAAAATGCTTTCTTCGTTCTGCTGTACTTCCATGCCTAGGTAGTATGCCATTAGCCCGATGTCGGTCATCTCAAATTCTTTGGTCATCACTCTCTTGAACTCTTCATACATGCTTGGATTACTTCCGGTGAAGATTAGATCATCCACATATAAGCACATAATAAGAATATCTTCATCCTTGACTTTGATGTAGAAAGCATGTTCATGAGGGCACTTGATGAAGTTGTTTTCTTGGAAGTACTTGTCGATGTGACTATTCCATGCTCTTGGCGCTTGTTTTAACCCATAGAGGGCTTTCTTCAGCTTCAGAACTTTGTCTTCATGCCCTTTGATTTCATAGCCTGACGGTTGCTAAATGTAGACTTCTTCTTCAAGGACTCCATTTAGGAAAGCGGACTTCACATCCATTTGTTGAATCTTCCATTTATTTTGAGCTGCCAAAGAAATTAGTAATCGTATAGTTTCCAACCGAGCAACGGGTGCAAATACCTCATCATAGTCGATTTCGGCTCTTTGACTATAGCCCTTCGCCACTAGTCTCGCCTTGTATCTTTCAACCTTTCCGGTGGCATTCTTCTTTATCTTATACACCCACTTGACTCCGATGGCTTTGTGTCATTTCGGAAGAATAGCGAGTTCCCATGTATCGTTCTTATGGATTGCTTCAATTTCTTCATCCATTGCTTTCCTCCACTTACTATCTTGCACTGCTTCTTGGAAGTCAACTGGTTCACAATCAGCAAAGAGACATAAAAGTGTAGGATTATCGAGTCTTTCAGCTACCTCATAGAGATCTCGTAGATTCTTGTGCGTGGTACTTCTCTTTCATTTAGACTCCCACTTGACGATGCTGATGCTGGTAAATTACCATGATTGGTTAATGTTGGTGAAGCAGGTGGAGTAGTGGATTCTTGTTGAACCTCTCTTGCTTGCTCCATCATCCCTTGTTCATTCTCTTCTTCAAACTGAGGAAAAAAGTGAAGATCACCTACATGAGAGCCAAAATCCCATTCTCCTTCTTCATCGAACATCACGTCTCGACTGATCACCGTCTTCCCATTGTTTGGATTATACAGTTTATAACCTTTTGAATTTGAGTCATAGCCGATGAAGATGAACTTCTCACTTTTGTCGTCGAGTTTCGTCCTCCTCTCGTCTGGTACATGTACATGGGCTATGCTTCCAAAAACTCTTAGATGAGAGATACCTGGTTTTCTTCCACTCCATGCTTCTTGCGGAGTCTTTCCTCACACACTTCTTGTTGAAGACCGATTTGATAGGTAGACAGCACATGCTACAGCTTCTGCCCATAACTCCTTAGGCAATCTCTTGCTTTTGAGCATGCTTCGAGCCATGTCGAGAATGGTTCGATTTTTTATTTCCACCCCACCATTTTGTTGAGGGGATCTTGGAACTGTCAAAGGTTGACGAATTCCATTGGCTCCACAGAATTCTTGAAATTCATTTGAAGTGAATTCTCCTCCTCGATCAGATCTCATGGCTTTGATCTTGCAACCACTTTCTTTCTCTACAGCAGCTTTGAACTTCTTGAATGCTCCAAATACCTTTGATTTCTGCTTTAAGAAATACACCCAGGTTTTCCTTGAAAAATCATCAATGAAGAGAAGGAAATAATTATTTTTACCCAAAGAGCTTGGTTTTATTGGACCGCACACATCGGTATGAATGAGCTCGAGTGGCTTCTGGGCTCTTATGGTTGACTCATTTGGAAAGTTTTTCCTGAATTGTTTCCCAAGTAAACATCCTTCGCAAACTTGATCAGGGCGACTGATGCACGGTAAGCCTCTCACCATCTCCTTCTTGGATAATAACTTTATTCCCCCAAAGTTAAGATGCCCAAAACGAAGATGCCAAAGCCATGATGTGTCTTTGTAACATGTTTTGAGGCACTTTGCAACATCATTTTGAATATTCATAGGAAACATCCTATTCTTTGACATTTTCACCTTGGCAATTAATCTTCCTTTGTCATTTCTAAGAAAAAGGCTATAATTTTTCATGTGAATATCATAACCTTTTTTCTAAGAGTTGACCCAAGCTCAAAATGTTGCTTTTCATATTGGGCACGTAGTAGACATTTGAAATTAATTGGTGACTGCCATTTTTTAGGGGAATTAGGATGTTACCTTTTCCTTTGACGGGTATTTCGTATTCGTCTCCAAAAGAAACGTTTCCACTTATCGATTCATTGAGCTCTACAAACATGCTTCTTCTTCCGCACATGTGGTTGTTGGCGCCAGTGTCAAGATACCATGTATAGTCTTGGTCTCCATCATTGTTCTTGCATGCTAGTAGCACAATCCCATTATCTTCGTTCTCTTTTTTCACATAATTAACCTTCTCATCAGGCCTGTTGCTTGGAGCTCTACATTCCCAAGCATAATGCCCAAACTTTTGACAGTTGTAGCATTGAACTTGAGATTTTTCATACCTCAAGTTTGAGAGCCCTCTTCCACGACCTTTTGTTGAGCTTTCTCCTCTTTCGCAGTTGTTATGGTTGTTGAAGTTCCAGCCACGTCCACATCCATGTCCATGTCCGCGACCTCGACTGCGACTTCTTTCGTACTGGCTTCTCTTGTTGTTCAAGCTTTCTTTTTTCTTTTTTGGCTGGACATGCGTCTTGAGGAGCTGCTCATCATTTCCTTGCCTTTTCTTATGTTTCTCTTCATATGTTTGTAGCGAACCCATTAATTGC